CACAGGGGATGCTGAAGTGGCAGCCAGGATTGCCAGCTCATCATACCCTCCCCAAGGGTGTGCCAAGAGTCACCACCACTCAGCAAACAGGACAGCAGCGACTTGGAGGTGAAAGTCATTCTGCCAGTGTGGTGGGCTGGTGCAGACCAGGGCATCCAAGCAAGAGCCTGGCTCAGGAGTGTTGGGACAAGATCAGCTGAGTTCTGTACTGCAGGAGAAGGAAAGCAAAGAGCTCCAATCCACACAGCGTCTCCTTGAGCCTCTCCAACCCGCAGAACAAACACTGTGGTTCCCGCTGCCCTGGTACAGTAGCAGCCTTGGAAGTCCGTACAGACCTGAACCCAGCACAGGTTCCCCACCTCTCCAGTTACAGAGCTACCTCTTGATTCACAAGCCCTTGCTGGCCCATGCCCATGCTTAGCTCCTAGCAGCCTCCACGAAACTAAGACTCCTACCATGAGCCTCCAGTTCCCTATGAGCTCGGTGCCCCAGGGGTTCCCGGTACCAGCCCACAGGAGCACATGACTAACAAAGCATCCCTGCTCCAGCCAAGTGGAATCCTGTCAAAGTCCCAGCAGAGACCAGGACACCCAGACCCCAACAGATTGGCCCTGAGGCACGAGGAGCATGTCCCTTATCATAGCACCTCTCTGCCACTGAGAGGGTCACCTCTCCATTTCCTGCCTCCAACCACTGCACAGCAAATGGCAGGAATTTGTCCTAGGACAGGACTGAGGGAGGCTGGGCCCGTTCCATCTGACCGAACGCAGGGAAGCAGAGGTGTTGCAAAGCCTGCTGCCACTCCGCCACCCTCCACACCCGCTCTGCAGGCATACCTCCCCTGCCCAGCAGCTGCCCCCTTTGCTTCCAAGTGTCTCCCTAAGGTCTGGTGGGAGAGGCCATGAAGCCTCGTGAGCAGAGACCCCACACACCTTGATTTTGAGGATCCTGTCCCACTCTGATGCCCCTGTGGAAAAGGGGATCCAAGTCCTGGCACAGCACGAGGCCTCAGGCACACCTGGTCCTGCGACCTCCCCAGGGGGGACTGCGTCAGGCTCAGCTGAGCCCAGAGTTGGCACCAGGGCCTGCTGCTGGATACAACAGGTCCTTAATGCTCCATGTCCCAAAAGAGCTCAGAATCTTTGAGCCACATACCCCTGCTGCACCCTGAGGGCCTGCAGAGAGTCCGCAGACCAGTCCTGCCACTGGCTGCCTCCTCAACACCCAGGCTTATTAGGAGTAGAGCAGAGACAGGAAAGGGTGCTCAGCAGTCTCTTGGCAGAGAGCACCTCATCCTGGGTCACCAAGGGAGCCTGGATAAGCACCTACCAAGCTGGAACCTGCAGGCCTAGCAGGGTAGGCATCAGAGCAAAGGGGTAGGGGAGGGAGGCCTGGCAGAGCCTGGGCCCCACAGGTCTGTGGGCACAAGGACCTGGTGGTACCTGCTTCCACCTGGGATTTCAGCGGGTAAGAGGGTTCCTAGGAGGGAGAGAGAGGGAGCAAGAGAGGTGGGCCCAGGAGAAGACGCTGGTGAATACCTGTCACCTGTGCAGCTGAGTGGTAGAGAGGCTGCAGTAGCCCCATGGCTTCACGAAAAAAGAAAGGTTAAAAAGGGGGCCCAAAGTCACATGGCTGCCCTCCTGGAAAAGGGACTGGACAGAAGGGAGACAGCAGAGGGGTCAGGGTGAAGTTGAAGCCCACCATGGAGACACGGCAAGGGCAAGCTAGGGCGCAGTCTATCCAGGGGTGGACAGGCTAAGCCACAAGACAACTACCACAGAAGATGCAGGGGCTGTCCCCTCCGGTTAACAGCACCAGATACTCCCTGCTCTCCAAGCCCCAGAGCTGAAGCCAGGCCTGCCCTGGACTGGGGTGGAGAAGAGATTTAAGTTGGACATGAAGATTTAATAACCTACAGGTGTGCCTAAGAGGTTAACCAGGGAGAGTTTAAAAACAGGAATTTTTTGGGAAAAAGTAAAGTGGGCCTGCTCAGTGATCGGGCTACCGTACGGAGTGGACTATAGGCAGGTGGGGCGGGTGCTGAAAGATGGGCAGTGCATGAACGAGGCACAGAGGCATCTCGGGGATGCAGGGTGTGGGAGAAGACGACTCCACACCCATCCACCTCACAGCAGGCTGCAGGGCACTGGAGATAAGTGGTCTCATCTCTGAGCTTCAGGGAAGGGTAACAGTGCCCTCAGTGGAGAGGTTAAGTAAGATGAGAAAGTGTCCTGGCAAAAGGTTCCTCCACCCCCTTGGACCCTGCTTCCGCTTCATTTCCAATTCCAAACCTCCGCCACACTGCTCCCTTCCCAGCCCATCTCCTGCCTCAGAACCCACCACTCTGAAGACTCAGGACCTGCTGGAGTTCCCCAGGGCTTCAAATTCCACTCCTGCCATCCCTTGAATCATGACTTAACTGCCACATGTATACTTTGTATTAGCCCAACTGCCTCGGAACCACCACTTAACTGTGCCAAATGTATAGTCTCTATCACTCCAAATGCGACTGAATCCCTACTTATTTGTGCTGAATATATATTGTATCTCCCTAAATCTTAAGGTCCTGGAGAACAGGTGTTTGCATTTAGTCTGGGTATATTTTCCATCCTAAGAGATTTAAAAATCCATCATAAAGGCAGGCCTTACTTGTCAATTTCACAGATGTGGGTGTAAATCCCGGCTGAGTCATTTAACTCGTCTGTAAAATGGACAATGTGGGGCTTGTTCAGAGGGCTGTTGTGAAGCATGAAGACAATCTGCTTAGAACAGCGCCATGCACGCCATTCCCATCCCAAAGCAGATTTACTTGGTCTGAGATGGAGCTCCAGAGCAGTAATTCCTAAAGCTCCCCATTTAGGTACTGCCACTGGCTAAGAATGCTGTATAGGGCAGTAAGTGTGTGGGGACAGCAGGAAAGCACAGGCACTGTTGGGCTGGCGTCACAAGGCCAGCCTCTTAATGCCACTCTCCACCCCGGAAGTTCCAGCGTTCTTTTCTTTGAGCCAGGAATGGTTCTGCCTGCCAGGGTCCGAGATGCGGCCCTAAGTGCCACCTACTCTTGCCAGCCTCCCTGAACCCTCAGGAAAACGACCTTTGCTATGACATCTGCCTGTCTGGGAAACATAAAGAAGACAAGGGCCATGCCTTTGGGCCTCCTGGCCAGAGTGGCTCTGTCTGCCTGGTCATTTTTTCCTTTGCTCAGCATTTACTCACCAACCAGCAGACAGTGCAGAAAATGTGCCGCCCAGGCCCGGATCCGGCTCTAAGTTCAGGATTTGCATATGATTACCACAGACCCATGGCAGTTCCTCACGTTTTCCTTCTTCCCAAAGGGTCAGGAGTGGGGATCTCAATGTGTGATACTGTTATCGGTTCTTGAGGGAACACCAACTTACCTTTTGCATCTTTCTGGCACCACCCAATTTTGATCCAATTACAAAGGCCAGTGTTTGCAATGTAGCCAACTGCCTGAATCAATTTGCAAGTTTAAAAGTAGTACTTGGGGAGCTAGGGGGTGGTTCAGTGGAGGATACTTACCTAGCATGTGTAAGGCACTGAGTTCGATTCTCAGCACCACATATCACTGACAACCAAAGAATATTTTATATATATATATATATATATTTATATAAAAAGAATATTTATATATATATATATATTAAAAAGGAGTATTTGGACAGACAATACCACTACTACCTGGACTGGAAAATATGCTGATACACCAGACACATAAGAACGCTCTCAGAGGCTGGGACTGTAGCCCAGTGGCAGAGCACTTGCCTAGAATGGATGAGGCACTGGGTTCGATCCCTAGCACCACATAAAAATAAACAAATAAAATAAAGGCATTATGTCCATCTATAACTACAAAAAAATAAAAAATAAAAAAGGTTCTCAGCTAGATCCACTGAATGTAACGTCTACTAAATGTCACATCTGCCATTTTAAGCCAAAATATTTCCTCCAACATTTCAGCCGGTGCCTCCCACTACACCAGAGCAATTATTTTTCTTTCTTTTTAAATTCAGTGTCATTTTATTTTGAGAAAGAGATGCTGTTAAAAGGCATGGGATGCCTGCAAGCTGCCCAGGAGACAGCTCTTAAATTACCCTCGCCAGATGACACAATTGGAGCCTCTCCCTTGGGCAGAGTCCTGGTGAGAATGGACATTTTCATACTTGGAACAGCTAATGGGAATAGAGATAATGAGGATGGTGGTGGCACTGTTAAACCCTCGTGCAAGCTGGGCATTGTACTTGCAAAGTGTTTACATTAATTACCATACTTTCATTAAGCCAACAGGTAAACCAGCAGCCAAATGAGTTCACATGCAACCTATTAGTTTTTTAACAATATGCCTCATAAAATGAATCCTGCTCCTGTAACAGAGCTCCGGTTAACTTTTATGGCTTTTTTCTTGGGGCCTTTCAAATGAGCTCAGACAGCAAGCCTGACCTCCTGCCGCAGCTGGGGAGCTGGGTGTGACCCCAGACTGCTGTTAGGCAATCCTGTGGAATGAGTTAGTAAGTCGCACTTCAGTAGGGCTCCTAATCCTGAGGTTCAAAACAAACACCTCATCAAAACCAAACCTGGTCCACCCAGCCATTACTTAAAAAAGGTAGTGTCCGGCCTCAAAGTGGGGCCAATATGCAGATAACCTTCTCAGGCCGGGCTTCAGTGCCTTAGGCTTAGGCAGATGGCTGGAGGGGCAGTAGAGTTCGAGCTTCCTCGGGGGCACCCTCCATCGGTACCAAATCTGATGCATGCAGAAGATGCAGCTTGGCACGGAGCGCAGAGGCGCCCAGGTGCCCACGAAGTGGTGCAGACCAAGGGGGCGAGGGACCCGCGGCCCCAGCCCTGTCTTCCGTCTCCTTGCGGAATTACTCAGGAGAAGGAGGCAAGACAGACTCAGAGACCCCAGAACCGGAGCATTCCTCCATCCAGGCAGCTCCACCAGGTGAGATCCGGGCGGCGCGGGGCCGCGTCCCGCGACTCACCTGCGTGAAGTAGAGGTTCATCAGCGTGAGGGTGAAGAACTGCAGGCACACGGGGAAGCAGTAGAGCAGCCAGAAGACGAAGGGGCTCAGCGAGTTGGCCGCCACGAAGTCTCTGAAGTAGAAGGAGAACAGGACCGTCCGCAGCGAGGCCCAGAAGAGGCAGAGGAAGAGGAAGACGCTCTGGTAGCTGAGCCGCTTGTGACGGTAGCGCAGCACCAGCCAGAGCTGCGCGTAAATGAACACGAAGAGCAGCGCGTAGAACACGGTGTAGACCACCGTGAGGCCGAGCTTCACATAGGGGGGCACGGCCGGGGTCAGCGTGGGCGGCAATGAGCCGTTGCGCGCGGGG